CACAGCCCGTTACTTCGCCCTGCCCCACCTCTAGCCCCGCCCCACCCGCCCGTTACTTCGCCCTGCCCCACCTCTAGCCCCGCCCCTCACCGCACAGCCCTGCCCCTTCCCCATGGTTCGGTCCCCACAGCACCGTGGCTCTTCCTCTAAACCAGACCCTGCGTGCTATGACCCGGTCCAAAGCACACCGCCCACCCGTGGCCCTTCCCGGACTCCTGGCTCACATAGATCATCCAGCGAGCATAACGCTGGCGCAGGTTGTGCAGCACCGAGGCCTCGTTGAGGTGCGTCATCATGGCCATGTCCTCCAGCAAGTCAAAGCGGGGCGGGTTCATGGGCTGCAGCTCGGCTTCGCGCACCATCAGCACCTGCCAGGGAGATCGTATCGTGGGGTGGCGGGTGGGTAGGAACCGACTGACCTCAGCCTCTCACCCCTGTACGCTCCCAGAACCCCTTTCACACAGAGCGCGCTTGACAGAAATGCACGGGGGTGGGGGGAGTGGGGCAAAGGCGCTACCCCTGGGAAAGGGGGCAGCCAAACCTTTTGGTCTTTGGTCTCCACGCTGACTCTGCCCCCAGTCGCCTCCGACTTGACCTCAGCCTCCACATAGGCATCCTGTTCATCAGGTATCCAGACCCGCTTCTTCCCTGGGGGAGGGAGTACTGGGGCTTTGAGACCGGCTGAGGGGCATCCAGGGGTTGGGGATCCAGCTGGGGTTCCTAAGCCATGTCCACAGAGCTGTGCCCTTCCAGGTGCCCCTCTGTCAGGACACGGGAATACCCAGAGAAGACCCTTCCAGACCCAGAACTGGGAGGGTCCCTAGACGTGGTCTCAGAGGATTTTCTGACTGAGATAAGTCTCTCACCACCCTGGATTACACACTTGGGCTCAGTTTCCTGCTTCAGCAATATTTGCCCTATGACCTCCGGGAAATCTCTCATTCTCTCTGGGGCTCTTCCGTCAAAGGCAAAATATGATGGGAATCTGCTGAAGCCCCATATGAAACGGCCCTCAATGTCAGGCACATAATTCTTAGGGGGATTACACCTCCTCCATTTTGCTGAAGACTTAAGTGCAGGTCTCCTGCATCTTGCATGCCTTCGTGCCTGGCCAGCTGGCCCCAGAGCTTCAGGGAACCCATATTGCATTGTGGTTAAAGGGACAGACTCAGGCTACAGACCACTGGGTTCTGTTCCCTGTCCTGCCACTTACTAGCCGAGTGCCTTAGTCACGACCAACTATATAACTTGCAGACCCCCTTGTTAAAAAAATTATTAAAAATCACGCATGAGGCCCTTCTAAAGGTAGTGCCCTTTGCAACTGCGGAAATGGCACATCCCTGAACCTGGCCCTGGCCCTGCTCTCCACCTCCCCAGGTTGCTAAGATCATGCATGGAAGGTCATCTGCTCTGGGCCTGGCACACAATAAGCACTTGATACACATTGGCTATTGTTATTATTGTCTTATGAGCAAATCAGATCATAAATAGTAGTCTTTATTCCTGTCCCTAATAAACAGAGGCTTCGGCTCCATGGAAAACACTAAAAATAACTCCAGCACAGGTTTTATGGACACGCAGAGGCAGCCTGAATGCATACCAATCTCTCTCACCTCAGAGGCCTTAGGCTCTAGCCACAGACTGCAGCCACAGGAAGGGGGAGGGGCAGGTGATATTGTCCCATTTCACAGAGGAGCATACTGAGGCTTGCTTACAAACACAGTGATGTACACACAACTTAGCTTCAGAACCCCAGACTCTGAGAGAAAGATGCAGGGCTAAAACTGTCAGGCCAGAGTGCGTGCTCCACAGTCCTGAGCTCAGTACCACACCTCCCCACTCCTGGTCTGAGTCCATAAAGGCTTCTCTGTAGCTGTATCCCCTGTGCCTTTACTTACCATCCCATGGGACAGTGTGCACCTTCATCGTCTCCTGGTAGCCCTGGCGGAGGTAGCGGGCAGACTCCCCGAGTTCACTCACATCCATCATGGTAGTGGCAATGAAAGGTGGAGAATGAGAGACTAGAAATCTTGGATGTTCAACGCAGTCCAAGGTAGCAGGCACTGGAAGATGGCGATGACGGAGGAACTGAGGGGCCAGGAGCCTCCAACTGGGGCATGATCCAACAACTCACAAGGCCTAATACTAGGTGATTCTTTGGGGCTCCTCAGTGCAGCCTCCCTGATGAGCCCCCAACACTCACGTACACTCTCAAAACACCAGAGCATCCTCTCTCACAGATATGGAGAAACTCGTACCAACCCACAGGCACTTTCACTCACCAGCCCACCTGCCCTCCCTTCTGCTACAACCCCAGTCATGATCACCCACCTCAGCACCACGGTGAGGGCTGGGAGCTGGGCTACCCCTTTTATTGCCGCTGTCAAGGTCAGCGAGGAGGAGAGCTATGTCAGCAATCTCCACGTGTCACAGCCCCCCCAGCCTGGCCACAGGACACAAAAGGCAAATTCCCTTTTATCTCCACCAGCACAGCCCCTGGGCTATTTTTACCTCCCATTGTCAGGGGAGCACAAAGGCTGAAGAGAGACACTCCACTGAGACAGGCTGGGATTCAGAGACTGACATGGGCAGGGACAAAGCAGTGAGAGATTTGGGAAGACTGGGGAGCTTGGGTAGAGAAACTGAGTCATAAGGAGTATGATACACCCAGAAAAAGACTCACAACCCTAGAATGGAAAGCAAGGAGACTCAGAGAGGGGGAACCACAGAATGCCCTCTGGGACTATTTAGTCCAACCCTCTTTATACATCCAGGGAACCTGGGGCCCAGAGAAAGAAAAGCGCTGGCCAAATTAAGTAGTGTCAGAGACCAGGTCAAAAAAGAGAAGCAGAGAGAACGAGACATCTCTCTGTAAGTACCCTGATGCTCTTTCCCCCTACTTCTATCTCCATCGCCCCAGAGTCACACATAAAGAAAACCAGACCTGGGACCATAGGCATAAAGGAATGATTTGACTGAAGAGGTAGCAAATCAAGGAAATTTAGGAGCTCCTTCATACTCTGACATTTAAGATTCATGGGAAGCCAACTTCCCACTTTTAGCCCCCTCCCGCACCCCACTTTCAAAAGCAGTTGGGGGTGCTGGCACTCAGTCTGCCCGATATGGGCTTCAGAATGTATCAGGGCACTTCCAGGCTTTCCTGTCTATCACCCCATTCAGGTCCTGGTGATGTCACAGAATTTTAGAGTCAGAGAATCAAAGGATCCTGGAACCTTAGACAGTGGTCATGTAGAATTACAGAGGCCCAAAGCCAGGATTCCAGGCAGATGTCAGGCTGAGCTCACACAGAGAAATTCTCTGTACCAATGGACTACCAGTTCCAAATACAGAGATGTATCTGTATTCCATAAAATACATAAACATAATTCCAAAGCTAAATTTTAAACCACATATGGTTCAAAACAAGCAAAACTAACATATGATAATAAATGGAAGA